TTTTCACCCCAGGGCGAGGGTCTCCCCCACCTCCTCCCTGGCAGATGGTTTGCAGGTCGAACAGGGCGACCTTCTGGTCGGCGGGGTTGCTGACGGTGCAGGCGTAGGTGACGTTGGCGGCCGTGGGGGGCAGGTTGACCCTCAGGGTGGTGCCGTCCGGGGACAGCTGGTGGCGGCCGGGGAGCAGGTCCCAGGTGAGGCTGTCGCGCTTCCAGGTGACGTTGACGGCGCCTTTGCCCGAGCCCTGGCACTGCAGGGTCAGGTTGCACCACTCCACGGTGCTGGCCAGGAGCTGGCTGCGGGTCCGGGGGCTCGGCACCGACTCTGCGCCCGAGGAAGCGCTGGTTCAGCACCTCCCCCAAGGCAGGATTTGGGTCTCTGGGTGTCTAACCCCCCCCCCCCCACTCCCACACTCCCCCACACTGCTCTGTGCTCAGCCTCCCTGTCATAGTTCTGATTTTAGCAAGAAATTTTGTCTTTCCTTTCCCCTTCCCCCTCCTGCTGTGTGTGTTAATGGGCCATCAGATAAACAAAGGAGTTGGCCTGAGCCCTAAATGACCAGACATTAATCTCCTAGCAACGAAGGGGGAGGAATTGGGAAGAAGGCCAGGGTGTGTGTATGGAAAGAGGTGGGGAGGAATTGGGAAAAGGTCAGGGTGTGTGTATGGAAAGAGGTGGGGAGGAATTGGGAAAAGGCCAGAGTGTGTGTATGGAAAGAGGTGGGGTTTGGGGGTTGGAGCTCAGCTCTGGAGCCGGAGGGGAGGCTGCAGCAGAGAGGAGAGACTGCCTGGTTGCTTCTTTGTCTTTTGCCTGTCGGAGGAGAGTTTTTTTGCTGCTGTTCTCTGCGCAGCTGTTTGCTGGTTACGGGCCTGGCTCACCACGAGATCCTCACCAACCGAAAATCGTGAGTTTTTCTTCCATTGGGAGAACTTTCTGTTTCCCTCCCCCTTCCCCCCTCCTCCCTCACCACCCGGCGGCGACCAGGGATCCCACAGCGCCGCCCGGTGACGGGGGCTGGACATTACAAGTTCTGCATCTCCAGTGACCCAACAGCGCCACCCGGTGACTACTATAGAACATTACAAGTTCTGCACTTTTTGATAACCCAACAGCGCCACCTGGTGAACGGTATAAGACATTACAAGGTTTTGCATCTCCAGTGACCCGACAGCGCCCTTGCTGACCGTGGCTGGAACTGCACCAAAGGGCGCTAAAAATTGAACTATTTGATTTTCTTTTTTGCCGGTTTTATCGGTTTTGTTCTTGAAGGGGATTATTGGTGGGTATAGGGGTATTGCTTGGTTGTTTTACTTGGTTTTTTTCGTGTTCCTGTTAATACACACACCCTTTTATAAAGGGCTGTTATTTTTTTCCCCTTTTCCATAATTTGTTTTCCTTCAATCGGAGCCTCTTAATTTCGAATTTATAATTGCTAGAAAAGGAAGTTTGGGTCTTTTTCTCCTAATCCATCCTCAGCAAAAGACCTTTGTCTCATTTAAATTGGGACACTCCCCACCCGCGGAAGGGGATTCAGACCTCGCGCTCGGGGCTTTCTCTCCCCGCGTCCCCTCAGCACCCACCGTAGACAGAGAGGTTGAAGGTTTGATCCTCCACCAGCGCGGGGTGCAGTTTGATCCTGGCCCCGTAGACGCCGCTGTCGCCCCTCTCCAACCTGCGGATCCTCAGCGCCGTCTCGTTGTGCCTCTCCAGTCGGTTCCCGAAGCGGTCCCGCGGGTCGGGCCGCTCGAAGCCGCCGCGGCTGAACTCGGCCACCTGGATCATGGCCCCGGTGCCGGAGGAGAAGCTCCACTCGATCTCCTTCACCGTCTTGTTGGGGGGCAGGGCCGGCGAGAGCAGCACCGACCCCCCCAGGACGCCGTTGACCTGCTGGGGCTGCGCCCGGGCCTGGCCGAAGAGCAGCTCTGGGACAAGGAGAGAGTCACCCGGGGGCGTTTGGGGACAGCGCGGGGACAAGGAGGGGGGACGAGGCGGGAGAGGGACAGGAGGACATTCGGGGAAAGCCTCAAAGCAGCATCTCCTGCCCCGTGGTCCATCCGCCGGTGCCTATCCAAGCCGGGACGGGGGGGGTGTGCCCCCCAGAACAATAAAAAAACAAAAAAATAAAAAAGAGAGGGAAAGACGCCGGGCTGGAGGGACCAGAAGCCAAAAAAACTACAAGAGATCTACAGGTTCAGGTGCGGGTGCCCCCTCAGGACGCAGGTGCCGGGTCTACAAGGATCTTGTGGGGGTGCCAAGCTCGGGGAGCGGAGGCTAAAAAAGATAACGGAGGATCTGCGAGGTTCAGATGCGGGGGAGCCCCCCCCACCATCTGAAGCCCGAGGCTCTCACCAGAACAACGCTCCAAGAGAGTCTGGGAGGAATTCCCAGCCAACACCTCCAAAACCTCACTGTCCGCCTCGGCCCAGAGCCCTGCGGGAGATCGACAGGGGTTAAGGGGGTGGGGTGGGGGCAGCTGGGGGGGTCCCTGTGGGCTGAGAGTGCTGGGCCAGCAGGGCTGGAGCCCCCTGGGAGCCCGTGGGGTGGGTGATTCCCACGGGCATGGAGCCTTTTCCTTCCTTATCCAGACCCTGAGCCTCCACCACGGAGGGGGAGTTTGGATTTTTACAAAAATCCCGCTGCCACCAGAGCTGCTCGACGGTTCCAGGCAGGGCTGGAGCTCCTGCCGGCCTGTGGGGTGGGTGATTCCCTCAGGGATGGAGCCTTTCCCCCTCCTGCCTTCTCCCAGCCCGAGGAGCAGGTTCTGAGCCTCCACCGCGGGTGGTTTGTGTGTGGGGTTTTTTTTGGCAGCATCCAGAGCTCCCTGATCCAAGAATTCTGCCGCCAAGAGCCGCTCAGCATCACCTCCCTCACTCCTGGCACCTCCAGGGAGGGACCGAGTCCCTTCCAACCTGTGGGATCGGGGCCATTCCCACAGGGATGGAGCTTCTCCCTTATCCCAGCAGGCTGGGCCCGAGGGGTACGTTCTGAGCATCCATCACAGGTGTTTTTGGGGTGGTTTGGTGTTTTTTGCAGCATCCTGAGCTCCCCGCAAAAATCCCGATGCCAGGAGCAGCTCGGCACCACCTCCCTCGCTCCTGGCAGCTCCCGCCTACTTCCAAGCTGTCTCCTGCGCTGGCCCCGGCCCCCGCATCCCCCCACGCCCCTCTGCCTCGGAGAACACCCCCCACTTTTCTCCCTCTCCCTCTCCCCTTCCCACGCAGAACGGGGGAGGCGGGATGGGACGAGCGGCATCAGCTCCGTCCTGGCTGGGACGGGCCGTGAATTCCCGGGATCGTCTCCCCTGCTCCCCTCCCCTCCCTCCTCTCCCCGCAGGAGGCAGAAACAGCCGAGCCCGTCCCTCAAAAGCAGATTAAACGCGGCCAGCGCGGCGCTCGCTCGATGTAAACCCCTCCGGCAGCCCCCCAGGACGAGCCTCCTCTTGGCTCCGCTCTCCGCTCTGATTGCTCCGATCCCGCTCATCCCGGCCTCGATTCCCACTCCCCCAGCCCGCTCTCAAACCCCAACGAGTTCCCAAAACACTTCCCGCTGGGGGAACGCAAAGTTTTTTGGGGTCCCCGTGAAGCCGCCCCAGAGCCCGAGCAGCCAAACAGAGCTTGGGGTGGGGTGGGGGGTGTGGGGATGCTCCAAAATCTCCTCCCGGAGGAGCTCAGGGAGATTCTCCCTTCCCAATTTCCTCGCTGCCAAGGATGGAGCCGCTCGTGTGTCCGTCGGTCCGTCTGTCCATCAGCCGGCCGGGCACCCCCCGTACCCCAGAGCATCCTCCTCCTCCTCCTCCTCCTCCTCCTCCTCCTCCTCCTCCTCCCGGGAGGTTTCCCTTCCATGCCCGCCCCGGGGGGGTCCCCGCCGGTCGCCCCCCGCGCTGTCGAGAGGGGTGTCCGGAGGAAATGAGGGCCGGGAAAAAGCCTTGGCCTCGGCCAAGCGCCTCCCCGGCGTCCTCCCGGCTCATCCTGTTTACCCCAGATTTTTTGGAACACGAGGCTCCGCAGCCCCGGCTCCGCTGCAGGATCCGCGGGGGGGTTGGGGGAGGGAGGGAGGGAGGGAGGGATGGAAGGAGGATAAATATGTTGATGCTCGCTGCGTTTGGCAGCTGGATTAGCCCGACTCGAGCGTTCATCAGACCCCCCCCCAAAAAAAAACCAGCTCTCCGGGGAGGGGGGAAGGGGGGGGCCCGATTTTAACCTCGGGTTTATTCCCCCCCAGCCCGAGGTTTCGCTTCTCCCTCGCCCTCCCCACTTCCCACGCTTTGGTGCAAAATGATTTCGGTCCCAAAAAGCAGCCGGAGAAGTCCCAAAAACGCGGAAAACGGGCTTTCCCCACCGAGCTGGGGCAGATATTTGGCATCACCTTGTGACGCTGCCCGGTGCTTTGGGCACCGGCCCATCCCGCTCGTGAGGCCAATTAACCGCCGGGTAAATCCCCCCCCCAATTAATCTGCCTGTACTATCAGATGCTTTTCCGTAGGAATCGGGAGGTATTTACAGGAATTATCGAGCGCGGGGATTAGCACGCCGGGAATTAAGGGGATTCCTCGCTCCCGCTTTACATAAGGAGCCGCTTCCCGGGCGGATCCGGAGCGGCCCCGGGGGGCTCCGGGGGCTCCGAGGGCGGGGGGAGCCACAGAAATGGGGACGGACCCCGGGGAAGGGGGGGGGGGTGTCGTTCCCAAACCTCTCCTTGAGGCTGGAATCGGCCTTCCAGACCCCAAACCGCGGGTCGGACGGGGTGGGAAGGGGCGGGATGGGGGGGTCCCCCAGCCCCCAGCCCACCCCCCTTCCTTTTCCACGCGCGTCCCGCGGGTCTGGTGGGGGGTTTGAGGAGTGATGGGGGGGGGGTCCGCGCACTCACCTGGCCCGAGCCCCAGCAGCGCCAGGAGCAGCGAGGGCAGCCGGGCTTTGCCGCGGGGCAATTCCCCCTCCATTTCTGCTGCTCGGGAGAGAGAGCGAGCGGCTCGGGAAAGGGGGGGAAGACTCAGCGGAGGGAGAGGCGGGGAGGAGCGAGGCCGCCTCCCGCCGCAGCCCGTGGGACGCGGAGCATCGCGGGGCGCTCGGGCCGGCTCGTTAATCAGCTCTCCGCCGGTTAATCGGCGGCGATGGCAGTGGTGGCGGCGGCGGGGGAAGGGGGAGCGGAGGGGCAGGAGGATGCCGAGCAGTATGGCGGGGGCTGCCGGTGACCCCCGACCCTGCGGCACCGGGCGGGGAGCAGTGCCCGGATTAACGGGAGCGCAGCCCCCGCCGAGCCCGCCCGGCCCCGCGAGCCGCCTCTCTTGGAGCTCCTTCCCGAGGGAAACGAGGCCGGCGGGAGCGTCCTGGGGTGCTCCCGAAATCACCTCAACCCCCCCCCCCCTTCCAAAAAAAAACATAAACCTGAGATGGGGGCTGAAGCGCAGGGAAACACCTCGGGAATAGGAGCCCCCCCATCCCCCCCCTGGAGGGGTCCGGGAGAGTTTGGGGGGGTTGTGGAGCTGCCAGAGCATCTCCACGGGCTCCCTCTGATCCTTCTGCCCCCCCAAAGCAGAAAAGCCCCGAGCCCTCCCGGGTTTATTTTTTTATTTAATTCCCAGTGGAAAACAGGGAAGGGTGGGGGAGGAGAGCAGGGAAAGGGGGGAAAACAAGCTCTGCAGTGGGGCTGGTGAATCGTTAAATCCATCATTTCCCCAGGGGCACCTTCCCGTGGGATCCCCAAAGGCCGGAGAAGGAACGGGATGTGTTTTTTTTTGGAACGGGATGTGGTTTTTTTGGAACGGGATGTGGTTTTTTTGGAACGGGATGCGGTTTGCGGTGAGGGATGGCAGAGGGGCAGCCGGGGGAAAGCACCCAAAAAGGGGAGTGGAGGTGGAGGCGGATGCAGATGTCTCCCAGCTGGATTTTTGGGAGGCTCCAGAGCATCCCTGAAGCCTCCCCGGCCAAGGGCCACGCTGAGGGCCCACCCAGAGCTGTGGGACAGCCCTGGGGGTGCCCAGGGACACCAGAACCCCCCTGGGGACCCCTCATTCCAAAGGGCTCCCCCCCCCAGAGCTGAACCCAGGGCTCGTGTCCCTCTGCGGCTCCTTCAGGTACTTCAATGAGGTCGCCCCCAAAGAACGTTCCCAATTCCCTTTCATCGCCTCCCCGAAACGGCAGCAGGGAGGAGCAAAAACCGGTGTTTTATTATTTATAAACACTCTTCTCCTCCCAAATCCGTCTCTCCCGGAGCTCGCTGGCGGCCGTGGCGCCGTTTTTCCCTCAGTGTAGGGACCAAAAACCCCTTCGGGTTCCCGGGAGCGTCTGACGGCCGGGACCGCTCACAGGGCTATTTATAACCTCGGGATCTCGGGGAGTGTCGCGAGATTTCAGGTAGCCCCCCCCGCGAGAAGGGGCGGGTCCTCCCCATGACGTCACGCTTCCCGTCGCGAGTGGGGAGGGAGCACCGGCGACACGTGGGGGACCACGGGGGGGCCTCGTGGGTGACAAACAGCCCCCCCCCCCAAGCCCTTTTTTCCCTCCCTGTGGCCCAACCAGCGCCGTGGCAAAGGGGGGCAGCCCTGGGGACACGTGGGGTGGTCTCGCGTGGGGGGGTTGGGGGCCACGGGGAGGTGCTCCTGATGCCTGGGAGCCCCCAAAACTACCCCTGAGACCCCCGAGGGGAAGATCATTCGTTCCTGGGGGAAAGGGCTGCCCTGGACTGGCAGGACCCCCCCCACACCCCACCCCATCCCAACTCCTTTCCCTGCCCTTGGGTCCAAAACGCAGCTTTTTGGTTAAAGCGGGAGAAATGGTGTTTATTGTCACCCAATTGAGGGGGGCGGGAGGGGGGGAGGAGGGTGGGGGCAGCCCCCCAAAAGCTTCACACACACCCA